GCCTCCTGGCTCCTGGTGCTGGGCGCCGCCGCCCCCGCCCTCTGGTTGCGCTGCGTCCTCGCCGACTTCACGGTGGACAACGAGGTGCACTCCAGCTTCATCCACCGGCGGCTGCGCGGCCCCGAGCGCCGCGAGATGCAGCGGGAGATCCTCTCCATCCTCGGCCTGCCGCACCGCCCGCGGCCCCACCTCCACGGCAAGCACAACTCGGCCCCCATGTTCATGCTGGACCTCTACAATGCCATGTCCGTGGAGGGGGGGGCGGCGGGGGCCGCCGCCGAGGAGGGCGAGGGCTTCTCCTACCCCTACAAGCCCATCTTCAGCACCCAGGGGCCGCCCCTGGCCAGCCTGCAGGACAGCAACTTCCTCACCGAGGCAGACATGGTCATGAGCTTCGTCAACTTGGGTGAGTGCCTGCCCTCGCCGAGGCCCCGGGATGACCGGGCGAGGGAACCGTGCCGGGGGGGCGGAGTTGGGGGGGGGGGGGAGGCCGGAGCGGGGCCCCGGCCACCGACGGGAGGGCCGGGGGCTCGGTGGCGCAGGTGGCCCCGGCGGGGACCTCCGTCCGCGGCGGGTCGGATGGGCGGCAGCCCGCTGGGGCGAGGAAGGGCAGGTAGCGGCCCTCGGGAAGGCGGCCGCTCTGCGAGGCGGTGGTTAAATGGCAGCAACGTGGAGAAGGGCTCCCGCTTCCCGTCACGGCGTTTGGACAGCCACGAGCTCTCGCCACGCTCCACCCCGCGCGCCGACACGCTAAGTTCTTTGTCGTCTTCTCCCTTTGATAGTCGCTTGCCGCGCTTCGGAAATTGGATTTGCAGGTAGGAGCCGGACAGGACGATTAGCAAGGTCCGTTCCGCATCCCGCACCGCCAAGGAAGACGCGAAACCGGGGCAGGACCGCGGGTCCCGGCACGGCTCCTGGCAGCGGGCTGGCGCTCGTGCGGGATGCGGAGCCACCAGGGCTGCCTAGAGGGATAGTTCCCTGCGGCATCCCAGCGCCGCGCTCCCTCGGCCAAAGGGGCCGAGCTGCTCGCACATGTTTTCCTAATGGCTTGAGAGGGATTCCACAGTAAAGCCTTATTTACTCCCGCAGCTTTTTCTGTTGACCCCGGTTCATGCAGCTAACTCGCCTCTTTTCACAAGCACATGTGGATGGGTTTATGCAAATGATAGAAAGTTGGCATGCTTTGTATGCGGCTCGCTAGGCCTCTCTAATTGGATGCCACGGCCCAGTCTGATTTCTATTTGCTTGCTGTAGATTGCACACCCGTGTGGACTGACTTGGCCGGATTTGAGTAAAATGTTGTCGGGATGAGCATTCTATTTTAAATATATAATTATAGACCTGGTTCACTCTATCCATTTTTAGACCTCGTCATGTGCAGCTCGGAAACCACCACACGTACAGATTGGGTGCCTGCAAGTTCGAGACAGAATCTGAATGGTATTTCCAAAACAAGATCAACTCAAACTTTGTCCCAAACAAAGGGACGCTCAAAGAGCAAGAGGAGCCCACCTCTGGCACGTAACCCGCTAGGGATTTACAGACACCCCCATCGCCAATAAATCCATTAACACCTTTACGGATGTCACTGTTCTGGACACTTCCACTGTCTGGAACTTCAGAGGCAACAAAGATTAAATCACCACCTAAATCACCACCTCTCTAATCCCAGCGCGTTAACTAACTGAAAAAGATCAGTAGCTGTGAAGGCTCTGTGACACACGTTAATAATTATTAGACACGGTAGCCATCCCGGCACGATTCTTGCGTGATAGGGAGACATGGGACGCTGTGGGAGATCTCTAGTTTGCATGAGCTGCACCTCCTTATTAACTACCATAAGCTTCACAGCGGGAAGCTCTGAATTACATCTGGCCTGGGGGCTGCGCTCTTTCAGAGCACTGGTGCTTTCCATTTGGAATTACAGTGTTTGTCTAATTGCTGCTAGATGCTTAAGCCGATCAGCAATGATACGTTTAAAATCAAATATTTGAGCAGCCAGAAAAACCAATGGCGGTCAAATACTTGACTTTAGAGATAAGAGTGATCTTGCTAACATTGTTCTCTGTGGTTCTTGGGTCATACACCATGTACAACCACAGCGCAGGGAGAGTCCCGAACAGAAGACAAAGGATGTTGAAATAACCATAGCGAAATTCACACTTCTGTTTCCGTTTCGGTAGAGAGGCGAGAACCTTTATGAAACATGCAAGTACCTAATGGAAGGGAGTTGAGCTCTGGGGAAGCAGCTCTGCTCCTCGGGTGTAGTTATTTACTGCATAACTTTCAGCAGTGAAACTGCGGCGCTCCCGCCCTGTGCTTCCTACGTAAGGAAAAGTCACCTTTGCGGCCCATGGCAGTTTTACATGAAAAGAATTAATATCCCCGGTAATCAGGTCCCTGATTATTTTGAATACAAAGGAGTGGCATGGATCCATAAACTGTGAAATAAAAATTACGTTTTGGATATGTCTGTTTCTATGTGAGAACTTTTTATAGAGCAGGTTTTACCTGTATGAACTGTACATAATCAATAATTGACATCGCGATGTGATGTGATGACTACAGTGAATGTATTCATTCATTTCAACCTGCTGGGTTCTGTAGTAGGCTTAGAAATCCGAAAGTGTTCTTTGTGCAAAATACTAATTACCATTTTATTTAATTGCTGTCAGGATGGTCAGCGAGTAGTAAGAGCGCAGGCAAAATCCAATAGGTTTTAAGAAGGACAGGTGGAATTATTACCAGCAAGGCACATTTCGGAGGTTTATCTGTACTGTTTTGTTCCCTTGTCAACAGGGCATGCCAGGACGAGTTTAAAAAGGACATAGATCTATAATAGCTTTCTTCATCACTGTGCACACCTTTCATCCCATTATAGTCATTGGTCTTTCATCTTTATAGGACAAAGACAGGCTTGTTTATGGACGTTTTAATGAATTAGACCAGCCACTCGCTCCCGTATATGGTCAAGTACAACACCTGCTTTGATATGAAGGTGAAATTAGAAGATCTATTGTAGAACTGATGTTTTTTTGGAGACTTTCTACAATGATCCCTTTTAAAGCAGAGCTGAATTGCTAAATGCAGACTGTAGTAAACTGTGTCCTAGTTTTGTAAGAGATACTCTGTGAGCATTGCGTTTCACAGGTAGGCTTTTATTACTATACTAGAGCCATCACAATGTGGAAGTGTCACAGCATAATAAAGTTTCACCTTAGAATGGAGGAAGTAAAAGTGAGTAACGAAATAATACTTTTAAATTTCAAGAAGTAAAACATGTTATTCCAGGCTTCCAAATGCTAATCTACAAAACCACTTTTTTGCTTTATTCAAAAAATTACGTTGCTAGATTTACTGGGCTACATAGTAAAAAAACCCAACAACAAAACTCCCACACATTGATTTCTATGGAGATACTGTGTATATTTATTCTAGAGAATTTATACTGGGTATTGGTAGGGAGGAACCAGAATACAGGTGCTCCATTTCAGAGTTATGTTGCAGGGAGCTTTGTACTAAGCATGTAATGTTACTGTAAAATCTTGACAATTAATTAGATTTAGATTTATAACCAGTTAATTCACAGGCTACATTTTGTCTTAGCTTACACCTGTGCTAAGATGGATGGGGAATGGATTTGTGTCAAGAATGAAGTTACATGTAAATTAAAAGAGAATTTAGCCACAGTGGTCTGACTAAGTTAGTCAGTTAATTACTGGCTAATTTTATAAAATTTATTACTGTAATTTCAGTATTTGGAATTTCATTTCAGATCCTGTCCAAGTACAGTTTACAAACTGATCCATTTTAGGAACTGAAAAAATGCAAAGCATTTTTTGCACAAGTTTAATTTCAAGTTTATAAACAGCAACTAAGGAGTAAACATCCTCTAGATTACTTAGACCCTCTCTTCTAAAAATAATTGAGTTGTCCTTATGTGGGTAATCTTGCCTTGGTAAACAGACTTGCTTAGAATATTTTTCAAAAAAGTCGGCACAAGTGATATGCAACTTGTTAATTTGTCTCGTGGTTGATTATAAAATGAACAACATTGTTTAATCCTGGCAAAAAGTGTGGGGGGGGGGGGGGGGGAATTATCAATTTTTGGAAGGAGCACATGAAAGTGGCTTTTGTTAATGTAAATCAAGAAGCTGAAGAGCCCCCAAGTTTCCTTTTATTTCATACCATCTGGCTATCCTTTTTGTTGACAAGTGTTTGGCATAGAGAACCATCTCTTTGCCCTTTAATAACAGGCTTTAACACTGTAGGGTATTAGAAAAAGATTCTATAACAGTTAAAAAATTTCCTTCGGGGAATACTTTATAAAGTGAGCACGGGCTGCAGGCATTTGCAGCTGTAACCTGGCTTGTGTTAAAATTTGGAAGGGGCTGCCTTGCATTCCAGCTCACTACAGGCCTTCATTGGTGTACAGCCAAAGGTTAATATAGATGTCACACAGTTTTTCTTTGGAGAGCCTCAGATATAAGAGTACGCGTACAGCTGTGTTTTTAGTAACCCTTTCATAATCACTTCTTTTAAACCTCATTTTCCTGCTTATATAAATCAAAGATTTTCAAGGATATTTGACCTGGATTTGAACTTATTTGATCTTCACATATTTCTCACTTGAAACAAAGCAGATTAAATGCTAGCCCTGGATGCCTGGTCATGATCACATGGTTTGTCCATACATTAGGCCAAGCCCTCAGCTTTTTTTTTTTTTTTTTTCTCCTCCACCTAGCGCTGCTATAAGCTCTCAAGCCTGAACAGGTACATCCTGTAATTGTTTTGGACAGTATGGATATATGCAACACTTGGTGGTATAAGATTAGCTAAGGTAGAAAGCTTGCAGCCTACTAAAGGTAGGAAGTACAGTGACCGTGCAGCAAGTCACCGGCCGGTATTCATTGAACGTACAGACCTGCTCTAGAGAAAAATCAATTCATTTTCTAATTTTCAGGTGCAAACGGGCAGAGCAGAACAGGAACTATTTACCTCCACCATAGGGGTGCGGTGGTAGCAGAGAATGGAGCAGCCGAGGACAGATGTCCTCATGTGGGGCAAAACCACCTGGAAATTGTCCCCAGCCGCTCACACGCTTCTGCGGCGGATTTATCCCAGAAGCAGGGTCTTTCCTCCACTCCCACACAGGCTGTCCTGGGGAGGTGAAGTCCCCTCCGGGAACTGTAGTTTAAAAGCCAAAACCCAGCGGCATGTAAAGTGCTTTGAAGGAGCCAAGCCTTGATGGCCAGATCTTGTGATGCTTGTAAGAGGAGTTAGGCACAAGTGAAGCGTACAGGACCTGCTCCCACCCGAGCTCTGCTTGCCGTCGGTTTTGCTTGGGTGCGTGTGTGTGTGTGCGCATCCCCCCGTTGCTCCTTTTGCAAAGGAGTTTTAATGGCC